TAGACACTTTTTGACAAAAATAAAAAATTACGACTTTGTTACCCAATGAGAAGTGTTCTAATATAGACAATGGGTCGCGTCTCATATTATTTGTTATAGTTTTATTATTCATTATTTTCACTTGACTCGCATAAATAATTTTGTTCGAAGAACATTTATATGCAGTTGTACTTCGCAGCACTTCACTTGCAATTTGCAATTTCTAGTATGTTTGATATTTTATGAGAGATAGATGTATCAGCTTCAAAATGGAAACGATTGCGCAGCCATAGTGATGTAGTGCGCATCGAGAAAAGAAGGTGCTCTCCATTTCGCCATGTTCAATTTTTTGGTAAACTATGCCTGCTGAAAATTTGATGGCGGGGAACACATGGGACTTCAAAGGCATCGCGCAAAAGTTCTTCACGCGCTGCGGCAACTTTGATCTTGGTTCATTTGCATAGCGCTGCGTGCGCGTAGCTTTTTCGAGTGATCTCCTTCTCAATAATACCTCCATGGTTCAATCATGGTTCAATCAAGGTTCAATCAAAGATACTAGAAACACAAGAGAGTATCTTTGGTTCAATACATTTCATTTCAATGCTTTTCTTTTTACGTTCAACCAATATTCTTTTTGATTATTCATTCAATGAACTATTGATTAATTAATAACTTACGACAATTTTTAATTGCATAAGATCTCGTTTTTGCCACTGAACACTTTTTCTTGCATGAGGTTTTTCAATAAATTTTTAGTTCTATTCTCTTCTTTTCTTTTTTTTTCAATTGTTTTGTGTATACAGTATTGGGACCCTCTGGAAGTCAGTTTACTACTGTCAATAAATATTGTCCATTCTTGCCTCTTGTCCATAACACGGTGGTGTGCCTCAAGGCTCGATACTTGGACCGCTTCTGTTTTTAATATTATGTCGGACCTTCCTAATTCTTCTAGTCTTTGCTGATGACACGAATATTGGTTTTTTTTCTCATAAGGATGCAAATTTACTATTAAAACGATGAACGCTGAGAAAGGTCTCTATATGGTTTAAACTTAATAAACTATCATTGAACGCCTCGAAAAGTAATTACATTACAGTATTTTCAATCAGCATAATTATTACAGTTCATTAATCGATTATAACATACGGTAACTCGTGTAAATGAGACCAAATTCCTGGGTGTCATCATTGACACAAAACTTTCTTGGAAACCGCATGTCAACCGGGTATTACATTGCATGCAACATTGGTATGCTAAACAAGCTTAAGCATTATTTTCCATCAAAAATTCTTTTAACCTACTTTAGTATTACCTTATATTTATTATATCTACACCATAAATTTTAAGAAAATCACAAAATCATTTCAATTTCGTTCATAATATAAAACTCTGAAATAATAATACAGGAATTACTTTAAATAGGCCTAAGTTTGAAACTTTATGTCCCAGCTTCCAAAAAAAAAATCCAAAACAAAACCTGTAAAAGGTTTAGAACATGTCAATGCCTGGACCAAATCATAATTGCTGTCTCTTATACACATCTGGTGGGCGGGGGGGTGGATGGGGGAGACATTCCATGAGACCACACCCATGGAATTTGAGGAAACAGTACTCTCTAGATCAGGGGTGGGCATTAAAATTGGCCGGCCGCCTGCACACATTAGGGTTTGTAATTCATTTTCACCTGTACTCTAGATGATCGGAAATGACCTTATATGGGCCTCAGTAAAATGCATCATCACCACATCACCCTTATGGTCAAAAGATAAGATAAGGTACACTTTATTGCTCCAAGTCGGAAATTCAGTTCTCACATTAAAATACAGTAAAACAATTAAAAGAATGATCATATATAATGAACTATAAAAATTACAACGTAAAAAAAGATATCAAATGAAGCGCCAACAAATTTTTCATGATCTTTTATCATCAATTTTCGGCAAACCATGCAAAGATCTAATTGTTGATTGTGATGTACCATAGTATATTAATTTTGAAACATTGTGATATACCATTGAAAATAAAACTTGTCTTTGATGTAGGCATATTCACTTTACCTACTTCGAACCGCGAGTCCAGATCCACCGTCAGCCAAACCATGGTTGGGGCTGCGGTGCAAAAATTTGAGACGATTGGAGCAACTCAATTGAAACGTCGAGATATTCTCAACAAACAACAACAGCTCTTTTCAGAACTATCTACGTGGTGTACCCCAAGCATTAATATATAATTTTGTTTTGTTTTGTTTTTTTTTTACTATGTTGCGTCAAAAGGACAATTTTGGCATACAAATGATATTGATTGGTGAAATATTGTTCCGGCCACAACCAGACCAGCTGGACAGCTTCCTACAGCCTTGTATTATAAAGTGCTTTCAGATATGATGAGGAAAAATGCAGATCCTGAATAAGTTTTGAAGGAGAAGGGAAGGAGTAGAGGAGATTGGTTAAGCTCTATACCCTTGGGCAGTGAAATTTCTAGTCTTAGCATAGTAAAAGTCAGGGGCCCCCACTGACCATTCGGATACCAAGATTTCTCTACTGATTTAGCATCACTAGAGTACAAATTAAAAAATTAAGCAGGATAGGGGAAGCTGCAGAAAAAGGGCAGAACAAATTTTTTTGCGGCTATTTATAAAATGGCCACCAAAATTCAAATATTGGCTCATAACTTTACTTGTATCAAAGTTTTTTTTTTTATTTCGAGTACTGTACAATGATGCTTAACACTGAAAAAAAAAGGTTCCTTGGGGGTATACTGCCCACTAAAGAGAGCAATAGACCCAAAAACTAAACCGTGGTAAAATACGGGAGAACATTAAAAAAGTCAACTAAAGACAAAAAAAAATGAGTTATTAACTTCGCTTGAAACACAATATCAAAATACTTCAGTTTTTAATATTTACAAAAGTTTTAATACAAAAAAATCCTTAATTAAATTTATTACAAGCCATTTTAAGTTTACTGGTATATAACAGAGAGAGTAAAGGTATCATTTATATGCCTAGATGGCCTAAAAATTTCAATTCTATTCAAATTTTTAAATTAAAACTAATAACTAACTCAATGTTTTTTAGCCATAGCTGATACAGTAGAATAAAAACACTCTTTATAATTCCCTACCTACCTTTACGAATAGGCAAGAATTTTTTTATACCGTGTTTCGCGAACTTATTTTTTAAAGATCGTCAGAGGAAGGCGAAGAGGAATAAATATAAAATTTTGTTTCCTTATTTTGCAAATAGTTTTGCCAAAACATCCAGACAAAGGAGAAAATAAAAACAAAATATTTTTGGTGAATGTAAACAGTGTGGTAATGGGACGGTTAAATGCTTCAAATTTATATCATTAGGAAGAAATACACAGATCTTATTTTCGGGGATTTCATAATAAAAATGAAGAAAAACTGTTATTTTTTTAATTTCCACTTTTTTGTGGCGGCGGGTACGCTAATTGGCCAAAAATAAAATTTTTTATTCCAAATCATCATTATTAGCATGCGGCGGGTTCACTAAACAAGGTGATGAAACATGATGAAATTGCTTTAAAAAAGTTTTATTTTTTAATAATGTATTTTTCATTTCCAATGTATTTACATTCATGGATACCAAAATATAATTGTGTGGTGCATCCATGTACATCAACAAATAAAACTCAACATAATCAAATTTATCTATTAAAATATAAGATTGTCTGATAGGGAAGACAAATGTGCAACAAATGTGGTCTACTATTTGTTATCATGGGTCTACAAAGAACAATTGAAAAAATACTAGTTTGAATAATACTGTATAAAGAAAATTCAAATATGCCAACAATTTATATCATTTTACAAGCCTATTCAGTGGCGGGTCCCCTCCCCCTAAATTTTTCAAAATTCTTTAAAAAAATGGAGAAAAAGGAAAATTATAAATAAATTTAGGCGTGACAGTGCTACTTCAGCCATCTACAGGTGCCATAATAATAATGTTCCTACCTCAGCCCCTGAGGTGGTCTACACCCTCTGTCTGTAACAGTCAATCCCTGGGGCCCCTCTACTTCAAATTCCTCATCCGAAACAGCTATTCATATGTCATGAATTTTGGAGATTTGTTATCGAGTTATTTCCTTCTCAATTTAAACTACGCAACTAATGTTTCAAGTGGTTGCAATGCTGTCCTCTTTCCAGCCTGACGGTTTTTCCTTTGTATTATCTGCCTAATTTCCTTATCATCCTGTAAGTCAGCCTTTTGTAGAGGATTCTGGTTGCCGCAACCACAAACAGGACACCTGTAATTACAGGACAACATTTATTTTAACATGTTTGTAACATTCCATACATTTTTCCCCTCCCTTCAATTTCATATGCAGTTTGTTTGTCTCCCTCTCTAGTTTAGATTTGTTATGATAATCCAAAGAGTAATCAGTATTAATAGTTACACACTTTAATTGTACCTTTTTATTTTGCAATATAAAACATTTTTGTAATAAGCTCATTGCCACCAATACCATTCTTAATATAATAGATTTCATACTTTCAAGGTTCATACAGTACTGTACCTCTATTCACTAAATGAGTACTCACATAACTTTTTTCCTGGACTTCATGTAAGTGTTAACAGCAGACTTTTCATAGCTGTGTCCACAATGTTTATTCTTCACTGGGTCTGTCATCTCCCGCTGTGTAATGGGGCATTTAAGGCTAACCTCTGCTTGAGTCATCACAAACTCCTCATCCTCTCCGAGTTCAGTTTGTGCCTGAGTTGGAAATGCTAAATCTACAAACAACAATTTACCAATTATTTTGTTACCATCACCGATATTTATCAATTGCCATAAATATTTCTCAATGATTTACGAGTTATATTTTGAGGAACAAATAAAAACAATATAATATCAAAGAACGAAAGATATTTTTACCTGGATGTTGTACCTGCCATAATTGCTTTTTCATTTCTTGGTACTTCTCATGATTTTCTAGTGGTGTCTTTTCTCCCTCTACCTCTAATTCATTTATAAATTGCTGTAAAGTTTTAATAAGGTCCTTTTCTGTACAGCCACTACCAATATTACTGGGTACCTTGTGACCGGCAAAAAAAAAAAGCAAATGAAATTTAAAGCAAAACTGAAATGAAGTTAAATTACTAATGGCAAATCGCCAGCCCAACCCACTTTTATGAGTTTCAAAGACAGATCCCCTGGAAACCCCCCACCCACCCCAATGATTAGTGGATGTGAATCACTAGGACCTTCATTTAATAATTATTAGTGGTGGATTGCCAAGCTCCCACCCCTTCCAGTTTATTGATTATCAGTATTGAACCCTTGTGTTACAATATGTGAGCTGTCGTGACAAAATGAGTTTTGTGGTACAAAAAATGAAAAATGAGTTATTGACTCAACTCAGAACTTTTGCTCTGAAATATACATATTGAACTTATTAGGAAATTTGAAACCCAATTTTTGTCAAAATATCACTTTAGACATATTTTCTTGAATATATCAAATTGACCTGGCGTACCACACGACTCATTTTGTCACGACAGCTCACATGTTACATACTGACTGATTAAAGCAGCAAGTAAATGTCTGATACATACCTCAGATAAGATAGTATAATACATACTCCAAGTATCGAAATGCATGCCATCGTGTCGGAATTCAATATTTTGACATTAATTATGCCATCATCAGGAATGATTCATTCCTGACGATGACATAATTAATGTTGAAATATTGAATCCCGACAGGATGCCGTGCATTTCAATACTTGGAGTATGTATTATACTATCTTATCTGAGATTAATTAGTGGACCCTTCGATACATACCTGGCAACTAACTTTACGGACTGCCAGTTTGAAGTACTCTAGGTTTCGTTCTAAGGCTATCATTTCAAGCATTGTGTTTTCCATCTCCTTTATTTGTTCTGTTTTACCTGAAACAAACAAAAGCTAAACTGTACTATAGAGCTCTAAATAGAGCGGATTTTTTTAAATGCCACTAAACAGGTGTGACAGATGTTGGCAATTCCACTGAATTTTGATAGTTCTAAGATTGTAAATTTTCTTTTTACTGCTTATATTCTTCGTCATTCAAATACAGGGGTCCCAAGTCTCTCCGAACTCGCGGGAGTCTCCCAGAAATCAGCAAGCAAGCAAACATGTTACCGATTGAGGGCATACTACACCACGTATATAGTGGTGTTGACGAACATTAGAATCTATGCTTGAGAAAGGATAGCCGAAGTGCATCTGAAACATTGCAGGTTAGTAACATGGTTCTACTGGTTAAATAAAAGAAAATCATTCGAAAAATATTATGAAACCAGATGAATTTATTCAAAGATATTTTTACTGCTTTATCATCATTTTCAGTACAGATACGATAAATAACTACGTACTGTAATTTGTATTGTGTTAGAAGAACTTGTTTGTATGGCTATTTTGATAGACATTCGTCAAAGATTTAATTTCTTAAAGCATTCCAGAGAGAGAATACAATAACAATCACTGACTTTTTGGTCGGTGCAAAACATTTCATAACTACGCTAGGCTACGGCCTAGTAGGAGGAGGCCTCGGTGCCCTCCTGCCTGGCCGTTGGCCTACACCTAATCCCGTTCTTTGTCTTTAAAATAGGTCTAGCATATTCCTATTAAACGTTCAGTTTGTTTAGTTTATCAGGTGTCATTGACTCAAGGAATTCCTTAACTGTTCATACTTAATATTGAATTTGAATTAACTTTCTTCAGGGACTAATTAACCTTGTTTTACGATAGTAATAATCAATTACAATTCAATTTTCATTACGGTGCACGATATCTTTGCAGCGATGAAAAAACTAGGTATTTTTTTTGCACACAAACCTAAAAAAAATCAAGCCAAGCGTCCACTATGTGAACAAGTGAGGAATAGGCAAATAACATACAGTAGGAAGTTGCAGTGACGATTGACTTATTACATTAGCATACCTGCCAACAACATTCAAATATCAAAAATAGGGATGCTGTTCATTAGTGCCATGCCCCCACCCCAAACAATTTGTAAGATGGTAATTATACATCCTAATTCCTGTACATTGCTTTAAATAAAAAACAAGAGTTACTTAATTTCAAATGTAATGTTTATTATACCTCCCAACCAACACAAATTAAGTTACATTTTAATCAGTAGGCCTACAGACTTCACCATAAAGGGCACAGTATGTTGCTTATTTCGCTGATCTCATAACGTCATTTGAGTATTTAGACGGATGACACATGACGAAACCCAAATCTTTGACAGAAAAAAGCCATAACAGAAACTAAATTTTACATAACAGATATGTTTGTACAATATTTATTTTAATAGGCCTTGGCCTTTATTGCCCAGACAGGGCTAGGCCTAAGAAGAATCTTAGGTCTAGGCTTAATCAGACCAGGGTCTAGTAGGCTAGGCCTAAAACATCTGCCAATTGAAGCCTAGGTCATAACATATCATTTGTCTTTATAATACATTATTATTATCATATTTAAAACATTGTTTATTATCTAAAAAGAACCAAATTAAACATGTAAGCCTACTATACTAATGATTGGATAGTCTGTGACAACAATGTTTATTATCTAAAAAGAACCAAATTAAACACGTACTCCTACTATACTACTGATTGAATAGTCTGTGACAATGGTGCCTTTACATCTTATTCCCTGTACTCAAAATGAAAAAAAAACAATCGTTTTTTAATTGATTATCGGCATTTTTAGTCGATTTTTGTACGGCTGGAAAATTCTAAAAATAGGGACGTCCCGACTCTTTGGCGTTTTTGACATCAGAAATTGGGACCATCCCGATTAAATCGGGACGGTTGACAGGTATGCATTTATTTCATTTATTTTATTTTATTCCGCCTTTAACGTGATAACACTTTCAGTGACGCAGCACTGATCTCACTAGTGGATCACATGAACAAAAAAGTAGAACAAAAACAAACATAAAAAAAATATACAGAAACTTAACTAAAATAAAAAAGAACGAATTCAAATGAATTAAAAAAGAAGGCAAGAGAACAGAGGGTGGTCAGAAAGATATAATTAGTTTTCTGTTTTGATCAAAGTTTTGACATTTTTAAGTTGGAGATCATTTAATTCTATTTTAATTTGGTTTGG